ATTGGGAATGTTTTTTAAAACACTACAACATTTTTTGAATCCACAAATTTCATTATTTATTGAAAATTTTACTTTTAAATTCTATTTTTTATATATTTGGAACTTTTTTGAAGTACTAAATTATTTAAATATGAAAAAACGAAAACAGAAAAAAAAGGAAAAAAAGAAAAAAGGTCACCCACACATGGGCCGGCCCAAACGGACGCACCATGTCTTCTCCCAGCGTGCATTCTATAAGTTAGATTAAAAAGGTCCTGTCGCGCATAGTTTGTTATAACAGGTTACGATGAAAACATGTTTGCAGGTTGAATCATTTCTCTGTCTTACTTTTCAGGTGACACATCATCAACCGACTGGGATAAGGCTTGGTCTAGTTTTAAGAAGAAAGGAAGAAGACCCTATTATCAGAGTTCTCACCGCACAAATATGTGACCTGGAACCCACGGCGCATTGAGTGTCCATTGTCAGAAGAAGTCGATCCAACCAAAAGAGTTGAGAGGTCTAACTTGACGTTGTGAACAAGCCCAATATTTACCTTAGTAGGGGTGATTATCTTCGTTTCGGCATTGCTAATCTATACATTGGTTGTCCCACCCAAGTAACTGCTGAAGTGACAGATAACAGGTGAGCTCTAGGACAAAGATTCTACTTGGAAGTCTGTATTGTACATTTAGTTTGTACTATACCAAGTATAATCATGGTTCTGTATTGCTTCAAGCACATTGTAAGAGATCATAATAGATCATAATACAGAACTCCTTCCATTTTGGTGATTTTATTCACCTGTACATAAATTGGACCCTCTTTAGTCCTCCATTATAACCAAGAAATATTGGGTCACCTAGAATAATAATATGCTGATCACTATCCACGATTGTGCTCCTGATGTGATTTTTTTTCATAGTTCTCACTTCCTTGTTCATCTCACATTTCCACAACCTTAAGACATGGTCCGACTCATATTTCGACAACCTACGGAGAAATACAGTTGATCTGGTTCAGGCAGCATGGTTCAGACCCCATGGTTCACCACGGGCAAAACATGGTTCACCGGGTTAAGAATGCATGGTTCAGACCCGTGGTTCACTATGGAGTAGACTGCATGGTTCAGACTCCTGATGTGTTCATAAACCAGGATTGACCCGGTGTCGAGGAACTATGCCGTGGGACATGGATCGAAAATTACAAAACAATCAATCGATTGAAAGAAATTCAGATTATTTATAGGACAGTTAGTGAAATATAAACCCACACATGCATAGATACTCTGATAGATAAGGAGCTACAGCAAAAAAGGAAACTACAACAATATAGCGGAAATAAAAATTCTACATCTCATAGGAGAAATCAAGCTAGTGAACATTGCTTCTAGTGAAGAAGTGCCGACTTCAGTTTTAGGCACTTGTATAGCCAACTACAACTACAAAAATATCTAATCATTTGAAAATTTCAACTATAAGTCTATAACCCATAAATATACAACCAGTATAACTGGAAGTTTCAGCTTGCCGAGAAAACTGTGCAGGATGAACTATTTTCCACATAATCATCTACAGGATATGCTTTGAGCATCAATAAATAATTTTCAAGCATATACTGCAATTTAAACAAAATCAGAACCTTCTTTACCATTCACTTCTAAATGTAATCATCTTTTAATGTAGGTCTCGGTCTTGTAGTAGCCCACATTGTCCGCAAGCTACTGTAGTCGAAAGTAGTTTTACAATGGAGAAGTTACTACCAGAAATAAGTCTGTCCAAACACTATGTCAGGTACCTTGCAGATAAAAAAAAGTGGGAGATGCATCATATGAGTTCATAAGAGTACTTACAAATATTGACATTGACATTATCCAGAAACGTGCAGCCAAAGCTAATGAAAAGGTTCATATATATATATATATATATATATATATATATATATATATATATATATATATATATATATATATATATATATATATATATATATATTTGTATTTAGTGAAAACTGACTTGGCACTTGACATACAGTATGTGATGCTAGCTATATGAAATACCCAAAGAAAGACCAGACTTAATTCTTGTGGACCTTACTATATAAAATACCCAAAGAAAGACCAGACTTAACTGAGAATGAAATTTTAGAGAACGCTCACTTAAACATTCAAAGAAAAATTGTTAATATCATGGAAAAATACAGTGATTGGAACACATCTCGCAGAATATATCACACTAAATGTCTAAGCTATATATATAATTCCAACTGACATTGTGGATGGGATGCTAGAAGAAGAAAAACACATGGTAGAACAATTATCATTAAAACCAAGAGGTTAGCAATTAATTGGTGCAATCCTGTAACTTTGGGCCAAGAATGTTCATATTTCAGTCGATCTACTAAAGGGGTTTGATGGTATCTCGGTCTATGTCGTTAATTGACCATTTCGACCATTGATACAATTCACAATAGTAAACAATTCTCAGGAGCAAAAGGGTAAATGATTTTAGGGATCTTTCAAAAAGAAATTGCATCAGTAAAACTTAGGAAGGCATAATTGCATATCCAGGCCAAAGCTTCCATGCATGTTTTCCATCACATGTATGCAGCCATGTATGCCAAGCAAGGCTGGCCTCAGATGGGTGCCACAACTTGGGGTGTCTTTGGCTCGCTTGTGAAGGAGAGTAAGGGGAAGAGGCAAGGTTGTGCTGCTACACCTCATCGTTTGTCCGCTCGGTCTGCAATGCTCTCCAACGACAGGTTGGAGATGAAGTGGTTGCACGCGAAGTGAGCGGCATGGTGGCCCGCATTTCCATCGAGGAAAAAGCACAGGGGCGGGGCAGAGTGGAGGCGACACTGATTATACACCAAACTTTCACTCCCAATACTGCATGAAGCACCCTGCCTCGTCATGTTCTTCTGACTGAAGTTTGATGTAGCCCTGAATATATGTGCAACGGTGACACTGCACTTACTTTGCCAGCCCCTGCAATCAAATTTGTCAACCCATAGAGCATAGTCCATAAATACTCTGATTTTTCTCAAGGGGACTATAGGGGCCAAATAATTTCAAAATCGGGGAGAAAATCATAGATGAATATGTTGAGCAAAGCCGGCTGCCCCTGCTGTCTTGAAGCTCCTATACCACAAAACAAATATCAGTGCACTGCTTTGCTAATCTAGACCAAAACAAATCAAGGAAACTATCAATTTTTCCGATAAAGATTCTAATCGTGACATACTCATCCTAATCCGCCTCTGCCTGCAACAACCCACTTCCTCTGGCTGCGAACACTGACGCACATCTAGATGCACGCACCAACGCCACATTAGTCTAGCAACCCGATTGAGTCCCACCATCATACCATTTTTTGAATCATATGGAAGGAGAGTTACTCTCATGATGTATTCACGTGGGAGTTTACCTCAAGGATCTGTGACTGAAACCGGCTCGGACAAACACACAAACACGTTGTGTGCAATAAATAACTGAGAACATCCACAACCTACAACCAGCTAATTCTATCCCTATTGACAAGAAGCACCACATATGCAGTAATTTGACATCATGAAACTGTGCAAACTCGTGATCCTCAGCAGAAAATAAAAGTCATCCAGAGAAACTGGCCTGCGGTTTCCTCTGGTAGCATGGGGTGGGCACAGAAATCACGTGCGTCCGAAGTTGAGGTGGAGGAGCAGAGGGGGCGGCGAGTGCAACGACGACCGGATGGCCGTGTGGCTCTGGTCGAGCGGCGAGCGCGAGCCCTCCCAGGCAGCACACATCGAGGAGCTCGGGTGCGCAGAGGAAGGATGAGCTGAGGCAGAATGATGGTGCAGGGTGATGTGATCTCCGTCGTCGGTTGGCCGGGCCGACGACCGGCGACTGGTGTGTCACCGGATCGAGCGTCCCGCGGGTCGGGCGAGTCCTGGCGGCGCAGATCGGCCCGCCAGCGCCGCACCCTCCCATCCTCTGCCTCCCGCGAGGTCGCGACGAGGGGAGCCGTGAACGGCGAAGAAATCCGCGGGTGAGGAGGAGATGGGATTTGGACTGCGGGTTGATTTGTGTAAACTTCAAGGGCTCTTTTGCAAAAAAATACTCGGTAATAACTGCTTTATTAGTAGGTAAAGATTTAGTTTATTGAGAATCTCCCAAATAAGCCGAAGTGTCACTCGGGGAGCCCAAACAGCCTCATGGGTATTATCTTGGAGATACTACAAGACATGATGGTGACATGTCACAACATGAACGATGTTGTGGTCGCTCATCGCAACAAATGTTGAGCACACCTATCACAACACGAACGATGTGATCGCTCATTGCAATGTGGTCGGCAGTGCGATCACCCATTGCAAACACAAACAACATTTGGTTGCTCATTGCAACACATGGGATGTTGCAATGACCCATTGCAACATCCTCCCCTTCCCCACGACAGATGTCGCAGGGAGCCTCGCCGTCCGCAGAGCGCAGATCCACAGCCCGCCGTCGTCATCAGGGCACCTCATCATTGCAGCAGCAACCATCCACTTCACAGCACCCACCGCAAGGCCACAAGGAAGGTGCCTCCCTTTTTCTCACCCGCTTCGGGAGCCACGTTGGGCAGCGGACTAAGATCAGAAGGAGCGATGCATTGAGCCCACAGGGCATGGCAAGAATGCAAGGCAACTGATGAGCGTCGTGCAATCAGCCTCCAGATGTAGTACCTGTGAGCCGAAAAATGTGCCCACCCAATTGGATAAACACAGAAGGTATCTCAAGTTCTCAATTCGTAACCGACGGATTACTCGTCAAATAGCAAACAGGAACTAGAAACGGGATAATACAGTGAATTGCCAATGCTTCACTGAGTCAAAAAGTGTACCAGAAGGCACAACTAATGCTCTGCTAACAGTAGCCATCACAACTGCCTCTCACAATAGGAAAAAAGAAAAGGAAAACAGGATCCTGGGACGTTTCTCTCCTCCATGATCTCTACCATGCTCAGTCAAGCTGTACCTTGTCCAATTCAGCAATGGTTTCTTCAAACTGTAGGATATTGACAAAGGAAGTTTAGACTATGGTCT